ATTATTATTAATGAATGGAAAGCCACCCATTATTTACTTTAAAAGACAAACACACAATAGTATTTCATTTTAATTGCTTTAACTGTAAATTCCAAGAGATAGCACCAGGTTTTTACCATGGCCACCATCTTGGTTGCCACGACCTGTAAACTTAAGTTTCTATCCTCAAACCTAACCTTACCAAAACATGCTAATGACTATCTCTGGGAATTAGCAGCTTAAAGTTATAGAAAATAAGTTTTATAAGTCAATAAGCCCGTGGTTCTAAACCTTCCTATCTAATGCTGCGACCCTTCAATACAGTTCATGTTGTGGTGACCAGCTCTTTCCGATGATATGCCCTTTGTCTGTGTCAGATGTATTTGAAATTTTGAGTTGGAATAACCTAGATTTATATTTTGCCGTCTTCCTAAAGCTGAGTGTAGGTCAACAACTTGCAAATATGAATGCCGCGTTAAATCAACAGTTCCTTGGACAGAGCAATGTTCCTGTCCCAAAAGAATGCGCACAATAAACAACAGTAGTGGCTTGTATTGCACAGAATACTATGGTAAGGACAAATGCTAATATTTTAAAGGAATTTTGAACACCAGTAAAGCTCAAGGTAATTGAAAGACAGACAGACTTTAATGCATTCATAATTTATTTAATAAATTTAGACAAAATTAAGCTAGAAATCTTTTTATATTGAAACCTTAACATATTCCCTTTATTCTCTTGCAATTTAATATATTCTCCTCTCGCACTTATCATATTTTTTTTTTAATGAATAAAAAATCTTCTCGTTTGTTTCTTTTAGAATTAAAAAAAACCTCGATTATTATTAAAAAGTCAAAGGGTTTTGTTCTTTGAAATAAAAACTTGTTTTTTTTGTTGTTTTGGTAAGTACTTCCATTTCTTTATGTTTTGGCTAAAAGATATTTTCATTTTATAGGGTGCAATACAAACTTACGAGACCCTTTAGGATATCTTTCAAGTCCAGGATATCCGATTGAATTTCCTGGCTGCTTCTGGAGAATAGTGACGGATCCTGGATCAGTTGTTGCTCTTAGGTAAATTAGCTTTAATTTATTCTTTCTCATTTTTATTACATCAATGTCATATTTCCAATGTCTGTAACAATCTTATATAAATAAGACTTATTAGATTTTTACTAGTCATTTTTTAAATCAATTTTTATTATTGCAGTAGTAATATTTTAAAACTGATAAATCCTTTTTTCTAAAGAGCAGTTTTATATTAATTACATAATTTTTATCCGACAGTTTTTTAAATTCATGGATTCGCTTCTTTTAAATGGAAAGAAACGAGAATATTTCAAACTTTTTTCGTTTAAAACATAAAATGATTTTCCAAAAAAACACAATGAAATATAAAATATGATGCTAGCAATATTGACATAGGCAGCTTTAAAATGCAATATTTTGTTAACAGATATATTTAAATTCTCTTGCTATAGATTCTCAATGGAAATAAATCCATGGTATGTCCAGTGTGGCTATAACTATGTATCAATAATAGATGAAAATGCTGTAGAACAATCAAAAATCCAAATGTGTCTTAACAGCAAAGGATGGATTCAAACTTCGTCAAATGTTATGCTTATAGTGTTCCATGGACATATATTGGAACAGGATGCATTTGTTTTTAGTGGGAGATACAATTCCCATTGTAAGTACTTTTTTGAAACTTCAAACAACTGATTATGATACATCATATTTATAATTTGTTGGCATAAGAAGTCTAACAATAAACCTTTTAATTATTAATTGAGGGGGGTAAATTACATTCATTTTAGCATAGTGTAGGTATCTACTAAAAACAAAATTAAATATTTAAATAAGTACTCCATTTGATGAAAAATATATTTCTGTCTACAGCTTGTTCCAACTTTACATGGGGGTCTAGAAAACTGCCATAAGAAATGTTCGTGTATAGGAGACAACACTAAATACTGTCAGAGTGAAACAGGAAAATGTATTTGCAAGAAAGGTTATTCCTCCCATGACTGTTCATTTGGAACTGTGCCACGTAAGTTCTTAAAAGCAGCCGTTTATGAAATAGTACAAAAGAAAATATTGCATTGTGAAAATAAATGCTTAGTCAGTTTAACTTAATTAAATTAAATTTAAATAAGTTTGATAAAATGAACAGAATATTGCACAATCATTGAAGTTGTCAATCATTTAGCATATGTTCTGATTCCACCTCAGAAATTTTTTTTTAACATCTGTGCAAACATCAACTAGTCTCAAATTTGAATAATATTCATTCTCCAGCTTAATTGTAAAATATTTTTTAAAATAATTTTGGTTTTCTGTAAACTTATTTTCATATGAAACACAATGACATGTAAACATGTGAATTTACAAATATAATTGTTAGCTTCTAGAAATTAGTCTAGTTAAATCTCGTTTAAAACTTTTATGTTATGACACAATAATTTTAAAGTAGAACAAATCATTTTTATAGCGGTTTAAAATGTAGAAGTTTTATTTAAATTGAAGGGGTTCACATAGCAAAATTAAAGTAAAAATAGCATACTTCAAAATTGTGAAGAAAAAGTTGTTCATTGTGTGAGTATTACATTGAAATTAACATAGCTGACATATTACATTGGAACCCTCACTAAAATTCAATAACTTTGGTCCATACAATTTGATCACGCTAATGGGATTGTATTGAAGCAGGGTTTTGTCATATTCCATGCGATTAGCTTTGGAATTTAAAAAAAAAAAAGTAGGAAGACAGCTGATCACACTTAAAAAGAAAGGATCTTTTTCTTATTTTGGTACGAGTATGTGTTCGTGTCACAGAACAGTTAAGGAGGAGGGCTCCGGTCCTGACTTATCACAAACTGTATTGATGTAGTAGTGTTCAGTACAAGACGCTCCTCTCTGTGATTTATATTGTGGGTATCTAGACGTTGGGACAGACAAAGCACAACGTAGACTTGAACAAAATCCAACAACTTAAACTCCAGGTGTCCAATGATAAAATAGACTATATTTATTACTCAAATAGAAAGGTCTTCTATAGTCTTCACTAACTGTCAGCTATATATATGAATTTCTAAAGCTATGAATGTTGACTGTTTCGTCTCAAATATTTCTTTGTTCTTCTAGTCAACTGTTGTCTCCTGAACTCTAGCAACTATTCTCTATGAACTGCTCTCTCAGCTCTTCTCTAGGTACCTCAACTAACTCCTTGTCATGAAAAGTTTTATCTTATATGTTATTCTTTACTTTCGTAGGTGGCCCAGGAATGTTATCTATAAACACACTGTTGCCCCTAATTTCCGGTCAATTAGACCTTCCGGTTGTTAACCCCAAAATTATCAAAGTCGTACAGGCCCGAACATATTATCGAAAGAAACAACCCCCTCTATCTTAAGATTAAGAGTCTATTAACATTAACTTCACCCCCTTAACAATGCCTTCCCTAAAATAACGACAACTTCTGCCTATCTTATAAGGAACCTTAACAACAACGGAGCTCTGTCCTGAACCCCAACACCAGTCATTTGTGACAGTTCGAGTTGAATTAATATTATTGGATCTTTTTATTGTGTTAAGCAATATCTTTTTTCTTCACATTCTTTGAATAACAAAAATATTTATGTGCAAATGAATATACCACTACATATCCGAATTTTTTTATAGCTAGTCACATTATAGTAGGGTTTCACTGTATTTCTAAATATTGCAGCCACACCTTGTGAAACTTTGCATGAAAGATCAGGTTTGATATGGTTACGGAAGAATAGGAATTCAAATGATACTATTTCTTGTTGGTTATTACATGGTGTTGGTATATCAATAAACAATTACAGGTAAGCACTCTAATATAATTTCTTAAATGCTGAAAATTACTTAAAGGCTGAAACTTTTCAATGTGGTTAATTACTTTTTATGGTTACTCACATATTAAAGAAAATAATATTGATAACTCCAATATACAATATATCATAATTAAAATTTTCATCATGTTTTTAAACTTCCATATATGTACAAAATAAACATTTTCAATTGTGTAATTAGTAATCACCCTCCCCCAAAATAAAAACAATTTAATTTATGAAAGAATAAAAGAAAAAGCACATTAGTCTTTTCAGAGGCAAAGCACTGAATTTCTAATATTGTAAATTATGTTTTTGTAATAACTAGTATTGTAAATTGTAGATTTTTATATTAAGAATAAAAGTAATTTTTATCGGACACTGGGATGAAACAGGACATGTAAAGAATACTTATGAAGGTCTCCTAGAGCATATTTAGTTTAAATTTTGAGCTTTTATTCCACTTGATTCTATTGTATTGCATTTCTAATACATTTTAAAGCTCTACTCAGGAGATTTGATTTATTAATAAAATTATCAGAAAGCTTTTACTGGATAGGAATAATGTCAATAAATCAATGCATAACACATAGTAATCACCATGAACATTTTAAATCACTTTTTCATTTCTTTCATACACTCATTCAATGTTTCAAATGTTTTTATTTTCAATCTCAAATATACATTCTGAATGTTGTGGGAATCTAAAGAAATTTCTTCATTTGTTTACCTTATTTCTTTTATAGTAACCAGTATTTTGGTTCTGATGGCTCAATTATAAAGAAACCTCCACTACTTGTATATGATGGCAATAGTAATGCTTCGCCCCTACTTCTGGGACATACAGATAGGTTTTTTAAAGTTTTGAAAGCCACTGGGAGCGAAATATACTTAGAGTTGGAAGAGTCTTTTGATCGCTCTAAGGATCTTTATTTAAATTACACGACACAGTGTAAGTTTATTTGTTACATATGCAGAGTAAATATATTTACACCGTGATAAGCTCATTTATAATTATGTTGTTCTTAAGTACTTGTGTAATACAATAACTTTCATTGAAAAGAAAATAATTAATTTCTGACCATGTTTTAACCAAAAAAAATCAAAATGAGTATTAGAATGTAATGCAGACATATACACTGCATACACTGCAGAGCGGTTGACTTTGAGGGTTTTGGCATAGTATGATTCTTTCTTTTACCATTTGTGTGCCAACATCTTTCAGAAATATTTATTTTTAGCAATTGAGTAAAAAAAAAATTCACCTTGTTTCCCAAATTTAAATACAGTTCCTATTTCAGAAACTAAAGGGTGCCCCCAACACCCACACCCCCCACCCCCCTTTTAAATTGCCTACATGTTAGGTGTTAAACCTATGTTTTAACACATTGCTCTATAATTCTAAACAAACCGTTAATAATTTTATGTTATTAAAGTTTGTTGTTAAAAAATGTTTATGACCAATAATAATAATATAGCCATTATTATCTTAGCATTTTATTGATCTAACTCTTAATGTCCTTTTATTGATCTAACTCAAACTATCTTCAGCATCTGTTTGTGGGGGCACACTGATTTCATCTTTTGGGCACATATCAAGTCCTCAATACCCTCAAAAATATCCAGACTATTCTGACTGCAGATGGACAATTGTTGTTCATGAAAACCAATTTATTTCTTTAAGGTATTTCAACTATATATTTTGGCTAAGATTTGTGTTTTGTTTTGTTGCTGTCTTTATAATGGGAAGAGATTTCTTTAGATAAATTTAAAACTAATATTAAAAAATAAAAACAATTATGAAATAAATACATTTTAAAACACATCTTTTCATTATATCTTATCTTTAAATGCTCAGACTTCTTAATTATTGTCAATTAACCTTCTAGAAAAAACCCACCCCACAGACCAAACAGAATTTGTTGTGATTGATAAAGGATGAATAAATATTAAGAATGATCTATCAGTGTTTGAGATATACCTGGCAAGGAAAGGGTCAGAGTTTTTCAAGCAATAGTTATTGTAGTTTGTCCCTACCTACTAGAATAACTATAAATAATACAATTTAAAACTCTTTAGTCAATTGCTTCTGCAATCTTAGTTACATAATTTAAATTAATTTAGATGAGCTCACATCACCTAGCTTGATTACAGTTGCAAACACATTGTTTTGCTTGTCTTTGCAAGGATAACTGACTTGAAATTGGAGCAGCAAGTCAACTGTGACAATGACTACCTTGAAGTATATGATGGAAGCAGCAACACAGCAGTTAGGATAGGACAGTTCTGTCATAACACTGTGCCCATAATTATTAATTCAACTTTTAATTTTATGTACATAGTGTTCCATAGTGATAGCTCAATTGCAGAACGAGGATTTCAGGCTGATTTCAAGGCTGTGGGTGAGAATTGTCATAATAGATTCCAGAATTTTTTTTCAGCACAATTAACTAGATTGAATGCTGCCTAAAGACACAGCAAAATTTTTAAAATCCGTCCTCTTGTTGGGATGGGTGCCACATGTTCTGTATTCCTCTTGTACAAATTAACACGCCTAGCAGATAATAATCGGATTAAATATCTACACCATGGTAGATTCTTATATACTGCAATGCAGTTCACATCAAAGCACCAATTCAATCAATGACCTCAATTCTGTTTGGAACCAACCAGGTTTGACTCTGTCTCATTCACTGTAATCTCCTAGTGAGAATCAGGTGTTTGCCATGCACACATTACTTATGAAGTAAAACAGTAGAACATTTTCTCCATTGCTAATTATGGCTCCAGCCACACCTGTTGCATGAGTGCATATCTCCCATTAGAATAAAATAGTTTCTGATGTGTTTTCATAACACTCATTGTCAATAAACTCAAAATGATTGACCAAAATATGGAGAAATGCCCAACATTGACTGAAAAATACCAGGAAATTTGGGGACATAATAGAACATAACAGCTGATACAAATGCAGGCAGTAATTTTAATGAATGCATACTGTTATTTAACACACAAAATATTGTGCATCAACACAAAAAAATTATCTTAAAAAGTACACATTTTAAAAGTTGAGTTTGGGTTTTTGGCTACAACATACAAAATTTCCTCTTAAATGATGTATTGTAATTTCAACAGCATGTCCCCAACATTGGGCTAAAGGATGCATTCCCTCCTGTTCATGTGCAGAACACAAGACTTTATACTGTGATATAAACAAAGGTGAATGTGTATGCAAACCTGGATGGACTGGCTATAACTGCGAGATGGAAGTTGACCTTTGTTCTTCTAACTCTTGTCCTGCCAACACTACATGTGAAACTGAAGATGGGATTTTATCATGTCGCTGTAAGTAATTCAATTAAAACAATCATTTTTTTTAAATTTCCTAAATTGAGATATTCCAAAAATTATTGACAGCTTCTTTCACATGAGATAACTATCATATAAAAGGCCTCAAATCAATAAATATGTTACTTGGAAAATGAGTTTATCCATATCAGTATATATTATAAAATAAGTATAACCATAAATTAAAAAAAGAACCACTACTTTTCTAAAATAGGGCAATGCTTAAAATATATGAGGTGAATAGAGGTTGAACCTGCATAACTATTCTCTTAATAATAATTATTATTCCCAGCCTGTAACGTTTACATTTCATCTGAAAGTGGCTACATATGGAGTCCAGTTTATAAAGACTTTTTATATGGAGGTTATTCAGCTAAGTTCTGCTTTTGGACAATCATTGGACCGGCTAATTCAGTTGTCACATTAAGGTAAGCTTTTTAACACTTCTTTTTTTCATAGTATCCTAAATGAAATAATCATTTAGAATGGCTTTCAAAAGCATTTTAAATAAATTATTAAAATTTTATTCAAAACAATTGACAGTTGTCACATTAAGGTAAGCTTTTTAACACTTCTTTTTTTCATAGTATCCTAAATGAAATAATCATTTAGAATGGCTTTCAAAAGCATTTTAAATAAATTATTAAAATTTTATTCAAAACAATTGTCTGTAGTATAATATTTAACCAACCGTTTGACTTGCTCCTAAACTCTATATTATTGAAAATCTTTTAGAAAAATACACAATTCTTATACCTAAAGAATTTCTTGACCAATTTTCACATCTTTCCAACACTCTTGTGATTTTTAACGTTATTTAATAAAAATTCACACTCGCACCTGTACATGAATTGTATTTTGTGAAAAATGGAAAAATAATTTTTAATTAAAAGAAAATCTTAACCAATCATTGTTCACATGCCAAAACTGTATTTTTTGGAAAGGAAAAAATGATGGCTCAATATTTAAAGATTAATTTTTCATATTAGGTTTTTAAATAATGTTATCTTCATGAAAATGCTCCCATTCTCTTTCTTTTGCACTTGAATTGTATGTTAATGAAATGTTTACAATTTTTAATATAAATATATTGTAATCCTCATAAATATATTCACTCTTATCCTCACCCCTGAAATGTATCTGATAAAATGTGTTTATGTGTTATGTCCTTAGTTTCAAAGAAAATCTTATCCGCCATTTTCCCCTTTCAAACTTTTCAGTTTCGAGGTATGATTATTATAACACGTGTTATATTGCCCATATTGCAATAACATGGTTAACTATTTCTGCAGTGGATGGCCTGCCGCTATCACTTGAATAATTGATTCATTCACTCCCCAAACTTATCTGTTCTCTCTCTCACCAATGAAGTGGCAACGTCCAACGAATTATTTATTCAGTACTTTATTACACAAAATAGATGAGTTGAATAATAAATCTTGCCATGAGTATATCCTAGTGACAATGATAGGATGCAATGAATTAATACATATACGTTCCACAATATTCCATCAGATAATACTTTCCTAATCAATTATACTTATGTAAATGTGCCCACATTATGTAAATGTGCCCACAATGTGTCAATGCCCTTGAACTGCATTTTCAGACATTGGTTTATAGGGGGGGAAATGTTTTTTTTTGCTCTATTGAACAGAGCATAATGGAGTGAATGACATTGGCTTATTCTAACATAAATATACTTTTCTAGATTTCAGGAGTTCAATTTTCCAAATCAATTTGTTCGGGTCATTTGGAATGTCATGGTGTATGATGGTGACTCTACAGATAGCAATCTGCTTGGGAAATACAATGCGGAGGGTGCTTCAGGCATTGTCAGATCAACTGACAATACAATGCATGTTGTTTTATCATATGGAGGCCATGAAGGAAATGGTTTCATTGCATCATTTTCTACCCATGGTGAGTAAGATAAATAATAGTTCATTGGTGCATATCAACCTCACTTTTATGTTAACAGTATGAATGTAATTTTCTTTTGCTTCTTGTAAATGAACCGGTGTTATAACAACTTATTGTCATTATTGGCCATTACCAATATATAATTTTTCCTTGCTCCCAAGTGGTCTGCCAAATACCCCAGGGATGTGAGTACCAAATGTTGGCAAACACTACTAGGCTTATCATAGCAAGCCAAAAGTTATTACAAAGCTTATTCTAAATGAATATTTTAACTTAATATTTGTGTCAACTCCTATAGTCTTCTTGGATTGATTACATTCGTCAAGTTCTTTTCACACGTTGAAGCGTCGTACTATTCTCACTATCATTGAACAAACTCAACTCTTTTTCATAATAACTAACTTTAATATCTAAGTAAATATAATACACATCCTATCACTCCAAAGTTCCACTCAAGACTGCCGCACCACTAAAACATACGTCACAATACTGCATAGACAATATGTCACGAATCAGCATAAAAATACGTCATAGAGACAATGGCGGGAAGAGCAATCACTAACTATATTAGTCAAGCGCGGGAAAAGCGTTCAACAACTAATGAACATAATATTGAGTCGCAACAATTACTAATGAACGCTCATACTCGACTATTTGTAACTACCACATTGCATAATAATGTTTCACCAGTGTTCTTTTTAAGCATTTCATTTGACTAACAGAAATATCAAAATTCAATCCAAATAACACAACATGCGGCCCGCGAAACCCTTTCATGCGGCCCGCGGAGACCTTTTTGTATACAGAAAAAATTACGGAAATTTACGTGTATCCTGCCAAGATCAGACGCCGCTTATGTGGACACTATGTTTTTACTGAATTAAAATAGAGGCGCGCAGTAGTGCGTTATGTTTTCTAACCGATCATTACTTAGCAAAACTTTATTCGCCGTTTAGTTTTTCTACTTGCGTTCAGTCAATGAGATACAACGCCATCTAGTGACGGAGCTTTGCCCGCCGTGTTGCAGACATGGTTGAAAACATTGTGACTCAAATAGTGAAAATGCAAGCAAGTTTCGCCAATTTTTAATTGCAATGGATGAATCGCTTGACAGCTGTTCCACCTCTTAACTGCTTGTGTTCGTTAGAGGTGTGGATGAAGACATGAACATAACACAAGAGCTGGATTCCTGACATAGCATGGACGACACTGCTACCGGAGAGGATATATTCAATGAGTTGAAAAAAACATTTGCCGATTATAACTTGGACTGGACTAACCTCAGTTGCCTGACTGTTGGAGGAAATAACGTGAGTGGCATAAAGAAAGGCTTGGTTGGACAAGTGAAGCAGATGTGTAATGAGAAAAAAATTGTGCAACCAATGTTCCTGCACTGTATTATTCAGCAGAAAGCTGTGTGTGCTAAATATGTGGAAATCAGCAGCGTACTGAATCCTGTGCTAAAGAGGGTTAATTTAATAAGGTCACATGGGCTCAACCATAGACAGTTCAGAGACCTGTTGAAAGATGCAGACACAGAATCGCAAGATTTACCATATTACACAGCAATAAGATGGCTAAGTTGTGAGAAAGTTCTGAGCATAGTATTTAAGATAAGAAAGGAAATAAGCAAATTTCTGGAAAGTAAAGGCAAGCCACAGCCATCATTATCTGATGAAAAGTGGGTATGGAAATTGGTCTTGGCTGCAGACATAACTAGTCATTTGAATTTTTCTGAACTTAAAACTACAAGGAGAGGAAAATTAATTTCTGATCTATACACCCACCTAAAGGCCTTCAGATCCAAATTCGTCTTGTTTTTGGAACAAGTACAGGCCAACAACTTGACGCACTTTCAGCAGTGGACGGTGTTCATGGCTGAAGCTAAAGCGGAGTTCCCCACATCATTTGCATGCGAGATCATGAAAGACCTCCAGCTGCAATCAGCAGCAGTTTTCTGACTTGGATTTAAAGGCAGAAGTGAAACTTTTTCAAAACCCTTTTAAAGCAGACGTGGCCAGTCGCCCAGATGAACTGCACCTGGAGGTCATTGAGTTGTAAGCAAATGACCTCCTTAGGGACAAGTTAAAAGAAGGACCGGCAGGTTTCTAATTAATTTTCGCCCAATGAGACTTTCCTAATTTCAAAACATTTGCATACATGCACCTTTCAATCTTTGGAACAACATGCCTGTGTGAACAAAAAATTTTGAGAACGAATACGTGAAGGACGATTTGAGAAAAAATTTGTCCGATGATAATGTCAGGTCACTGTTGATGTTAGAGACATCAAATCTAAATCCAGAAATGTCTGCTAATCACTGCTATTTTGGCATCAAGGAAACAATTTCACCATTCCCACTAATACAGATGTTCATGTGTCGTGTATCAATGTGTTATTAAATAATAACTGAATAAAATAATAGTACATAAATAATTAAAAACAACCATGTTGTGATTCTTTTTTATTTGGACCTCGAGTGTGTAGTCGGCCCCCGAGCTGCTGTTTGATAGTTAATGTGGCCCTCAGGCTGAAAAGTTTGGAGACCCCTGGTATAGATCCATAGGAAAGTCAGTTGGTGGTCTACAGCCAAATAACACAAGTGATAGCATAGCTCCATAGGGAAGTCAGTTGGTCTACAGCCAAAAATGGGTCATTCTACATTATTGCTATTTAAAAAAAAAATTACTTGTACAAACAGGGGTTTCTTGTTATGTAAATTGTAGATGAGGTATTTCTTTGTAGAATATATTCCTTGCATCCAATAGGTTAGGACAAATATATGCATGGCAGAAATTTAAAACTCAAAATGTCTGGATTCCACCCATGGGATACAGTAAAGGTTAAAAAAAATATAATAAAAAAATACCTGTAGCACAAAAAGGGTTTTAGTAATGCAAACAGTAAAGAGATTGTAACTGTGTATTCAAACTTCAGCTTGTAATCCTTTCACCTATGGGCAAACATGTGAAAACCAATGTGATTGTGAAACTAACAACACCCAACACTGTGATCATTTGACTGGCTTGTGTATCTGCAAGGAGCCATGGCTTGGACATAAGTGTACTGAAAAGAAAGATCCATGCCTCCTACAGGACATTACATTTAAATGTCCTGAGGATCAGGTGTGCACAAATAATAATGATGTGCACAGCTGTGTGTGTCGACAAGGATACATGATGAATAGCAATCAACAGTGTGAAGGTAATATATGTCTTAAAATTCACACTTTTAAAAACATTTTGATCTTGTTTCTACATCTAATTTTAAATTACTTTTTGTCATCTCTGCTTGATGCTTGATCATTCCCATTCAAAATTCAGATCCTGGGTAGATTTTAGGTAAAACAAATATGCATGCAAATAACTATAATTTGTAGTTTTATATTTATTTTGATATAAGCTGTATTGTTAGTTACATAAAATTGTTTCTTAAAAAATTTTAATTGCACATTTTCTTAAAGTACAACGTGCCTGCATAAGGAACCTTGGACTGTGCTCCCATTATTGTATCATCAATGCTGTTGGGAAAGAAGAATGCACTTGTCCACACAACATGGTGCTTGGCGTAGACAAATTTTCATGTGTAGGTGAGTGTACAAGAGTTTTGAAATTTATTTTCTAAAATCCCATTATTGTATCATCAATGCTGTTGGGAAAGAAGAATGCACTTGTCCACACAACATGGTGCTTGGCGTAGACAAATTTTCATGTGTAGGTGAGTGTACAAGAGTTTTGAAATTTATTTTCTAAAAATGAGTTATTTAAAATAATTGGTATTTTATAGTTGAAAGCTGTGGATAGGCTTTTAATCTTGTATTTAATCATTTCATGTACATTTTCATGTTGACAAGGCGACAAGGGGAGTGTGATATTTTAAATTAATTACAAAGAAAGGTAAAAAAAATTGGTGTTGTAGAATATATTCCTTGCATCTTTCACGCTTATGAACCAAACGAAATAGTTATTTTTTAAATGTACTAGTATAAGAACATTTACATTTGAAATAATATAAAAATGGGTCACTTAAAAATTAATTTAATTAATTTTTAATTGTGCAATTTGCTTTATTATGTAGAAGGTACATTTAAAAAATCAGAAATTTAAAAAAAAATTAATTTGAGGCCCCCTGTAAAAATGTCAATTCCACTGACATTTTCCTACATTTCTAGCTGCAATACTCCTTAAGTGGTGGGATGCCTAGTCTTAAGTAATACCCCTGTGATCTCGCTTTCATACCTTAAAATTATAGTAAGCGTATGTATAAAAGTTTAAATATATTTAATATAAAAAATAAGAATGAAAATTTGTTTTTAACTGTCTAAACACTAGTCTTAAGTAATACCCCTGTGATCTCGCTTTCATACCTTAAAATTATAGTAAGCGTATGTATAAAAGTTTAAATATATTTAATATAAAAAATAAGAATGAAAATTTGTTTTTAACTGTCTAAACATATTCACATAGGTAAATTTTTTAAAATGGCATTTTGCAATTTAATCAAAGATCAATAGCTTTCCATTTCCAGTAAATATAAATTGCTTTAGTGGAATTTGGGTTTTTTGGTCACATGATCTAACCAAAATGTTTTTAAAATTCACTAAACATGGCAAGACACAACTTTCAGAAGCTGGAATTACAAAGTTGGTCCAAAACATGGTTTATAGTAATGGGCATCAAAAATCAGTTTTCAAAGACAAATCTCTAAAAGAAATTGTAATTATGAATAAATTTATTTTTGTAATATTTTACAGTTCCATTCTACCCAAATGGTCCTGATGCAAATGATTTTGACTTATTGAGAAATGAGACAGAGAAGTGTAATAAAATAATGTGTGCAAAAGTGAACTTGGAACTTGCCGTGCCTTTTGGAAATCATTTATATGATTCTCTGTATGTAAGTATACATTGTTAATTTTTTAGACATATTGTTTTTGCTTAAAAAAACAACTAATTACATGTTTTTATTATTAAGAACCAAAACCAAAGTTATAGACACAAAACTGCTCTGGTTTTGCTCATGAGGTGAAGTGGATGAATTTGCCATTTTGGAACTTCGTTTTACACAAATGGTGTCATTATGCACACGACCCATTGTTACATAAATAATCCATATGATGTAATGAAAGAAGTTTCATTCACAATTTAATTAGTTCATTTATAATTCAGTATAAAACTACATTAACATTATAGGATTCAAGTGTAACCAAAGGTACTTTTTTACTTCTTATTTTAAACCTAATGCATTCTTATCACCTTGGTTACAGTAGCCATTTGGGCTTTTGGCTTTCAGCTTAATACTACTAATATAGCTTTTATTTGTTATAGGTTATGTCAAATGGAGTTGTTTCTTTCGGTGCACCTGTCCTCCAAAAAGAACCAAGTATTGCAACAGCAACTGCGCAACAAATTAATCTGATTGCACCATTTTGGACAAAAATAAACTCACAAAGAGGCTCCATTTCTTACAATGTTTACAAGAGATGTGGTGAAGAATTACACAGCTTTAAGTCTGACAGTCATAAGCAAGTTTTCTCCAGAGCTGCCCAAGACATTAAGACTTTATTTCATCTGGCTGACTTTGATGTCCAGATGTTATTAGTGTTTACATGGAGAGATCTTAGTCCAGAAGTCAGTGAGGTATGTACAATTTTCTTTATATCTGCTCATGGTTTCAATACTGTTTCATTTTATTTTATTGATTAACTATTTAGAAAGTTAACATATTTTTTTTTGAACAATTAATTGACATCCAAGCAGTGCCAAGAAAATTGACATATCCTTAGAGTTATGGTTTCAACGTTTATATAGTTTTGAATTACAACATAAGCGTTTTACTTTATGATTCCATTTAAAAAAACAGAATATAATATGAAGCGTGAAATTCTGTGCTAAATGATTTCATTTCCTTCTGGTTTAATGATTTAAACATTATTTAAGTTCGATTGTTTAGGTTTTAGGAAGTATTTAAAAAAAATTCTTGCTTCCATTTGTTGTATTTTTACTTATTTGTTTCTTTTTTATTGAAAAATGTCCAATATCTCAAATTGTTATAATATTCTTATTATTGACATTAACCCAGTGTATTTTAACCGGGGTTTCGAGGAACCTAAGGGTTCCATGAGTGCTAGCCAGGGTTTCCACCAGTGGCTAATCCGGCATTACCTGCACTGAGCTCTAACTAGTTGTTTTTTTATCCCCCTGGTGTTGCTGTTGTCCTAATGAGCGTGTAACATTTGAAATAATTTTCACAACACTGTTTTTTTGCACAAACATGGACCGATTTATTAAGAAGAGAAAATAAGACGATGTAACAGCTAACGGCCCAAACCAAAACTCGACTGGAGCAGCTGACTGAAGCTACAGCTTTTATGGCATCATATGAGCCAAAAATTGCGGTTGTTGATCCGAATCTTTAAGTTTGCCAGTAGACTGACAATTATTTAGCTATGGGATTCACTTAGGCAGGAGACCCATTTGACATAGAACAAACCCTTCTGTCATTGCATGGATCTCCATGAGCTATCTAAACGCTCCAAAGGATTCCATTCTAATAAAAAGTTTGAAAAACATTGCATTAAACAATCGGGGATAGAGAAATTCTACGTATTATAAGTACTGGCTATCATCACATAAATATATTTAGTTTTATATTCAAAGTATTATTATCTAAAGATGTCTTAGTTTCTGTATTGGTTGAGGAGCCAACTTTTGAAAGTCAGTTGCAAGAATCTCTCAAACATAAATAAATCAATGACTCAGCCCTGATTCCACATGTTTTTTGCTTGTTCTGGATTCACCAGGTAGCTGTTTCCTATTCCTGAATAATTACAACACTTTGTGTTTGATTTTACACAAAGAGAGCCCACGAAATTAAAAATCTATTATTTTTTTTGTGCAACTACTGTAACAAATTTGAAAAAAAACTTCCTCTTTCTTTGTTAGTTCTGAAGATGATGATCATTGCAACACTTCTTTATCTTTGAAATTTTATATCAGAGTTGGGTTTGTGTTATGCTATTTTCTCTTGCCTTTATAGCCAGTTCCTCATACTAATTAAGATTTAATTCTGATTACTTAATTTGTAATATATTTTTATTTTAAGATATTGACATACTTTATATTAACAATTTTTTTTTTTTAGCCTTTTGAGCTTTTGGTGTTAAATATATATTACTATATTTTATAAACTTATTTTTAAACTATTTTTTTACCAATCAGGATTATTGGAGAATCACATTCTGCATTTCATAAATTTGTGGTTTAATCTGAATTAAATTAATAAAAGAAAATTGTGTATTTGCCCAGGAATTTTGAGTACTTTCACTAAACTTTTGGGGAACTTTAAAAACAGTAAAAATGAAAATATCCATTGATTCTACTTCCACTTGATTATATGTAAGAATGCAAGTTAAATTATATATTAATTACACATTATATAATAAATACTGAAACAGTTGGAGACTTGCATTTATTTTTCTGACTAAAATAGTTTTTAAATTTTTTAAATTTTACTTTTCCCTCATTTAAAGGGAAATGAGACAACTTCATTTCAAATGATTTTTGTATCGGGCTACAAAAATGGAGCTGAATTTGCTAAAAACAGTTATGACAGTAAGTATATATTTTAACTTTATAAGTGATTGATATCAGTATTGTACTTGTATTTTACTGCTTGAATTTACAAACCATACATCTTGTGTATGTTCGCAAACCACAGCTTGCAATCTAAATATCCATAGATATAATTTTTTATTCCATGGGAAAATTTCGAAAAAATCTAATTGTAACATAAATACCTATCATTAAGAGGGCATAAAATGTATCATTTAGAGGGCATAAAATGTGTCAAGGATTAGTTTATAATTTCATGTAAGTGCAGCAATGTGAACATTTACATTTGTCAAACTCTTACTTCCTCTTTAGGACCAAGGTTTAAATTTGAATTTTGACACTTTTCTAATTTTATAGTATGTTTGAGAATATTTTTATCAAAATGCCTATTAAATTATTTTGAACCTTATTGTAAAAGTCATTGATCATCTTTGAAAATAAAAAATCTGAAATTGAACCCATAGAAAATGCTTATCTAGAAGTGTATTGAATTTTGAAAGTAGCTAATAGTTGCAAATTTTTTCCTCAGGTTCAGAAAGTGCATATGCCTTAATGATTTACAGAAAAGATCAAATGAATTGGATTGACAAAAGGGATCGTGTGATTCAATTTGGCTACACCATCTCTGGAGGTGGATGCATCAATATGACTTCAGATACCGATAACCTTATTCACACTCTTCCTGAACAGGCTTTGGAAGACACGGGTAATCCAATTGTTACATGTGGAGGGATTGACAAAGTCTGTTCCAATGGGACGACACCAACTGGGATATGATAGTAAATTGGATTCTTATTAAGTGCGTTACTTGTATACATATGTTCTGTCAAATTTCAATCACAGCCCTCATTGCTAAATATGACATTTTATAAAGGATTTATACCTAAAACCTTGTTGATTTTAGGGTTTGTTTAATTAAATCTTTTTATACTAGAATAAATGACCCGATATTATCCGGATAATAATGGTAGGTCCTTTGCAATTGATTCTACCTGCTATTTCAAAACCTCATCATAATTCATAACTTGAAAAAGAAGTATCTATGTCATGATATTTACGTTTCTAACATCAAGTTTTGAGAAGTATTTATCTGCTACATATAATACGCATACTCTACGCCCTTTTACGCCCCTAAACTACATTTTCCCCTCTAAACATGACCTTAAATTATATTACCCAATATAAATTATATCACTTTTTCACTAAAGAAGTTAATTGAGGGATGATTTCTACGCTAGAGAATTACTTTAGATTTTCCCCTTTTCGTGCCCTTGAATTCCAACTTTTTTCTCTAAAAATTTAAAAAAGTATAATCTCAAATTTACATGCAAACTCTATCTACGATAAAAAAATATTTTACATTAAAGGAATTTGATATATTTCTATCTTCATAAAAATTGTAAACACACTTTGCCTTGTCTTTTTTAAATCATGCATTATCAGAAAATTGTACAACAAAAAATTCATTTATCTAAAGAAGAATCTCGCAACCGTTTTTCTTCACATCTATAACAGAATTGAGTGTCTTTTATTAAATTTTTTAATCTCTTAAAAATACACACCCACTTTACTTTTCGCAAAGTAAAAACAAAAATATTTTTTCTTTTTTTTTAAAAAGAAAATATTAACCCATCTCATTTGTTCAAAATTAAATTTTCTAGTGTGTAAAATGATTGGGTTTTGATATTTATGGGTATACTTTAATAAATGTACTACCGTTTAGTTAATGCCACTGATTTTCTAAATTGGTAAAATGTTTATTTTTAAAAGGATGTAACATCACTTTTTTCACAAATATAATACCATAGGATTTTAATATATTGTCCTCCATGTAAAAGTGTACACATTGTATCCTACCTCCGATAGGTATGTAGGCCTACCCAAGAAGGTTAATTATTTATCAAATTCATTCCTTTATTTTGAAGAGAATCTTGTGCTGCCCGGGGCAAAATGAACATACCCATATTTGTAAAAAGAGAATTAACATAGCTTTTTTCACAAATGTAATAACATAGGATTTAAATATGTCATCCACGTAAAATTTTCACATCCTAATTCTTATCTCCGATATGTATGTAACCAAGAAGGTTAATAATTTATCAAATTCATTCCTTATTTTGAGAATATCTTGTGCTGCCTGGGGGAAGAAAATGACCAACACACACACACACCACCCCCCACCCCCCATTGAAATAAAATTAATAAAATCTTTTATTGGATTGAAGTCCCTTCAATACAAAAACTAACAATATGCACTTCATATGGTTTGTTCTTATTTGGATGAGTTATAAGTAGATTAGTGAATGCTATGACTATGGAGTTTCACTGCACTGATTGACTTAAAAGGCATTTTCTTATAGAAGTATATTTAAAGGTTAATTTTTATTACTTATAAATTTAATAAAAGTATATTTTTGGAAATTAAAAAAAGGTAAAACTTATAAAATGTTAAAAAATACAAAGCTAAAATTTGTGTGTTTTATTAACAATTTAAAAAGCAATCAATTATATTTATTGATTTTACTTTTAAGAAGGTTGAAATACATCACAGTGCTATGAAGTCATTTAGAACAAATGAAATTTAATATTAACAAAAGGCACTAAAAACAACTGATGTTTGGGTTTTCCCGATAAATGTGATTATGATGTAATTCTTAGATCATAATTTTTCAATTACATAATAAAATTTAAATTCAGATGAAATGCTTAAAATAGTTCCTTAGTTATTACTTTAAATGTATTTCTAATTTATAATAATAATATTTAAACTTTTACTAAAATAAAAGCGAATTTATGTTATTCATTGCGCAATTAAATTTATTCGATTTCCGTAAAATAATATAAAATAACTATGATTTTTTTTAAAGAATAGGAATGTACTAAATCTTTTCGGTTCTTTAGCATTATGTCAGCATAACTCATTTTTTAATATTAATTAACTTTGCTTTTGTTTGTGTGTTTGTGGCAAAATCTTTGGAAGGCCAAATGTCCTAATTTCTGTCATCCTCTTGAGCTGAAACTAGGCACATATTATTCAAATATTATCTCATGCATATTAATCAGTAATCTGCTAATTTGCTCATCAGCGCAACTCTACAATTAAAATAGAGAAGTTTCCTTAGGGCAGGCCACTCATTTTTTAAAGCAAATTTTGAACTTGCTTCTTAGACAATCTGCTACACAAACTTTGGAGCTAAAATTGGGAATTTTTTTTGACCAGCTCTTGAAAAAAAAACATCTTTAATGATAGGTTAAAAATGGCACTTGCAGTCTCTGCTCTTCATGTGGGTAAATTAGGATCATTGTCCCTTGTCTATTGAAATGGATGACAGGAAGCAATTGTTCACTTTAAAACCAGGCACCAGGCAGCCCTTGTCAGGGCTATCATGCCTGCACCCCTAAATCGACAAGTGGCAAGAATATATTTTTTACAATGAGGCTTGTTGAGGGAGCTTTCTGTCTTGTGAACAGAGGTTCTCCCAGAAAGTGTTCTAATATGCTGCATCAGCTGGTATAATTGCCTAGGAGACAGCACCTGGAAACTGGTGACCTGGTAGGCTCTATTGGAGATACTTAACAAAATATTTTATGCTACATGGACATTTTAGCCTCCACCTTCAAGGCCAGGAGAGGAGATGCCTCCAGGAATGTAAAAAGTTCCGTGAAAAATTTACCATATTTCAGAATGTCCACCACTAAAACTTAGTGTCAATATTTTCTATCTTAAGAATAAATAATTATGAGTCCAACGACTTGTGTATGTATTTCTTAAAAAGTACACATTTGCCATTATAAGTGGCTCATGTCATAATGCACAATAAGTTATTTCCATTTTACATAAGTTGGTAACTAAACAGAATTGTTTAAAACTTAATTCATTATGTACTAATATCTAGACTGAATTTTTTTTCTACTCAAAGCTAACAAGCTAACAGTGCATTCATTAGTTTACAAGCTAAGACATTAACATGTATATTTTTTAGTGCTGTATGTTTTTATCATTGTCTATTTTAATGTCTGCTTATTAAAGGCTTGAAAGGAGTGTGGGCATTTCAAGTTGGAAAAGTATCAAGTGCAGCACAGAAGTGTCAGAGATATACATGCCATCATTCTGCTTTGACATCAAGTGCAAAGTACCAAAGGGACATCAATGAGTTGCACCGATGCCCATGTAGTGATGATAGACAAGGCAAACAGTGGAAAGATTATATTTGTTCATATGGTTACCAATGTTACTCCTTATCAACAGTGGCAATGAAGATTCTGTTCCGAAACAATGTCAGAAATATGGTGAGTCACTGTCTTAACAGTGTTTAATTTATTGTTCTTTGCAAAGCTTAAAGCCTAAAAAATGTTCTCCTATTATATGTAGCCGAGTGGAGAAGAGTATAGCTTAAAGTTTCATATATCAACTCAATAAATTCAGGTCTTGAAGGCTATAGCCTCTATTTGGTTCTATCAGTGTTGTATAAAAAGGAATAGTAGAAGAAATTGGATCATAAGACAAAGTGTAAGAAACAGTTGTAAGAAAAAGGAACCAGTGTAAGACAATGGACAATATCTGAAAAGATACAAATAGTGCAGGTTCACAATCCTAACATTTAATTACGCAGCTAACAAACGTTAAATAACTCTATAATTACAGGCTATGACAAAATATATTTATCTAACAATAGAGATGCATAACCACCACATAGTACATGTCATGCAAATGGCAGTTACAATTATATTGTAGGCCCTATTTTTTAATATAAGAGAAATCATGTGGCAATGTTTTGTAGTGCATACAATGTCTTACATTCAGAATCAATGTGAGATGTGAGGGCTTACATACTGGTCTAGAAATTACTATTGTACTGATATGTATATGGTTTCAATTCAAGATGCACCCATAGCAGGACAGTTACTACAATGGTATAAAATATAATCACCGTTAGTTGATACTTGTATAATTTATTCGCTATCTTTTTAAGACAAAAGCACATTCCAGAATGTTGTAATTACTTTATTACAGCTGGTAATATTATCTTAACTCTTTCCATGCCAGGGGGTTTTCCACGTTCGTGCCAGACCTGTATTCGGCCAATGGAAATTTTTTAGGGTGCTCCTACCTATTAATTAATTTTGAATACATTTCTTTTAGCAAGATAGTTGTATTTCATATCAAATTAAAGGAAATTAGACAGAGAATAATAATATGTAAACTATAAAACAATATAACAAGTTAAATTTTTTAGGTAAAATTGTGAGATCAAATTCTTTGTATTTTTAAAATTGCACACCAAATCTGAACTTATCAGACTACCATTCGGTCTGTGTAGCTATATCCTATTCTGCTTCAATCCCCAAAAATTATATCCATTTTTGATCATAATGGGTTTTAAATTTTGAAAATATTCCATTTTGTTACAGAGTTATACCCATTTTGTAACGTTAGGAGTATTCTTATCTGAATACTCTCCGTTGCCATAGTAACAAAGTGGTTTTGAAAAAAATTCATAACTTTTGAACAACTTGAGCTAGAAAGTTGATCTGGGTGTTTTTTTAATCCATTCTCTAGGCTAGAGATACATTCGTGGTATTTTTATATTTTAAAAAATGTTTTGAAATTTTTATGAAAGTGCCGACAGTATTAGTATTACTATTACTATAGCTATGCTATTACTATTTCCATTTGGCATTTACCGACCCATCAGAATGCTGAAAATCATCATTGGAATCAGATTCAAATGATTCATGGTTTTTGTCTGTTGTTTCAGCATCAATAATTAGCAATAAAAGTTCTTTTGTTTGCAAAATAGACTACCTACATGGTCTAGCAAAAGCTGACATGCTTGGAGTGGGCTTGGCCATGGCTTTGTTTACAAAAGGTTCAACACAAATTGAACTATTATTAGAAAAAACACATGCAAACATGCCCTACTTGTTAAAAAAAGGAAGTAGTAAGAGTTATCCTTCCTTTAAGAATAAAAAAGTCGGATTAAGAGCCACGAGAAATGAAACAAACTGCATAAATGATATCGACAGTATACTGTGGGTTGGCACGAACGTAACCAGTCAAATCGACAGTATACTGTCGATTGGCACGTAAAGAGTTAATACATACACCATTTTCTATTTGAGAGTTTAGCTCATGACAGGATAGTTAGCCTACTACACATATTTTATGTATATTCGCTGGTTGGATACTTTTGTATCAATAGCTTATAAGCACTTTGCAGTATGTGTAACCAGAATGGTATAACGGTTGATGTTATGCTCACGTACACAATGGAATCTTATTCCATTTAAGAATTCAGTGGACAGCCATATGTTTAACCATCACAATACACTAATATAGGTAATGAACAGAAATCATCCATTATAAACAACCAACAATGGTTTTCTACAAACAGAAATATAAAGGCGAATTAGCTTATACTTAAAAAGCATCCACATGTGCTGGTGAAACAATGGCACATTTTAAGGATGCGATTAAAACTTTAAATGCAAAAACACATTGGGGCGCTCACTATAAATAGGGATGCCAGAACATCCCAGAGAATCGACCAGCCTGTCGATTACTTGAATTCTGGCAGATTTACTGAGGTCCGAATAGAAGGTCCAAATCCCGGACCAAACACGAAGACTTATGAGTCTGTTAAAATTTTGTCTTGGCTATCTTAGATACACTTTTATATTTATACAAGTTAAATATTTGAAATATTTAAAATAGAGGGGGTTGTGATTCACCCATTGATGATGTGAAAACTCCCTTAATTATTTAATATTACAATATCCTCTAAAGATGCATTCTTGCAAATATACTAAGGTATAGATAAGGAAATCCCTTTTCCGACAAGGTATAATTTATAGCATAAAACGTAGGGTTGCCGAGAAATTATTGAACTTATACAAAAAGCACAAAAATGCTTTCCTAATATCTCAGTATTTTAAGCAGTTGGGGAGACACCGACCATGCCATGTTGTGATAACCTATCCCCAAGGTAAAATTCCAAGACAGTTTTTGGGTGGTAAATGCTGCTATATAACAGCGTGGCCTGTAATGCCAGATAATTAACAATAAAATATTATAAAAATAATATAAAAATGTCAATGTCCAAATTTTGAACTTTAAGAGTTTGGTCAAATTATAAATCTAATTTTGTACCTTGTCTTTACATGTGATTTTATAAATATTAAATATTATTTTTAAACAAGAATAATATACAACCAAAATGTCAATGTCCAAATTTTGAACTTTAAGAGTTTGGTCAAATTATAAATCTAATTTTGTACCTTGTCTTTACATGTGATTTTATAAATATTAAATATTATTTTTAAACAAGAATAATATACAACCTCTTCTTCCCCCAGATATGTAGCTACGAATGGTCATCGACAGGAAATTATTATGTAACAGACCTTTCTTATGCTGGTCATATTCTAATTTCGTCTGACCCTGAGTCTGAAGAAAATAAATTAAATCGTGTGGCACATGACTGGTGCTGTGTACAATCCCATAAGACAGCATTATGTGAAAGGTTTTACTCTATATTTCCGGACATGGGGTGTTCTAATATAGTTCCTTTCATTTCTGGTAAGTTCTTTTGTTTTTATCTAAATATTTTTTTTTTTTTTTTAAATTTGTTTTTATTAATTCTAAATTGAAACCTATAGAATTGTCTGTGCACACTTACCTTATTTCAGCCATCAATTTATTATAGTTTTGGTACAAGTCAAGTTGTTAATGCCATACAATGCATTATGTTACAGGGAAAAAATATTTAGATGGACAATTTTAAAAACTTAATACACTTTCAACCATTGGTCAGGATAGCAAGAAAAATACATTTTACCATGTGCTTGAAATTTATTTATAACTTATTCAATAGTAGACTTAAAAAAATAAATATAATCTTTGTCGGCCTCTATAAAACTATTTCTGTTTAGTTTTAACAATAAAGAAGTTGAAGGCAGAAATTGCATATTCACTAATTCTGAAAGAAGAAATACTTAAATTCTTTTACACGCACTGTTTAACAATCTTTGTCGGCCTCTATAAAACTATTTCTGTTTAGTTTTAACAATAAAGAAGTTGAAGGCAGAAATTGCATATTCACTAATTCTGAAAGAAGAAATACTTAAATTCTTTTACACGCACTGTTTAACTTTCTTCGTGAATTTTAATTTTTAAAAAAATAAATATTTTATGGGCACTTTCAAATGTGTTTGATAAGAATGTTACATTAGCAGACCTGTTTACGCTTACGAATTTGGCATACAATGTAAGATATTAAGATATGTATTAAGATAATGTATTGAAAGCTTTTGTGATATACGATTTTAAGAGGTTGAGGGTAAACAGGTCTGCATTAGTTGTTCTTTTTTGTTAAAGGCTTTGGTTTTGATGTTCCTTGGCATCTAATTTTTGTTTAACTCTTCAGTGCTCGAAACAAATTCTGAAACTTTGTGAAACCTATCAAAACATTTCCTTGTGTTCTTTTCCTTAGTCACTGCAGCTACACAATCACTACATAAACACTCAATTTACACCACTTGTGATTCCTGACCAAAAAAATGACTTCTTTACATGTCAGCCCAGAGATGAACATTCCATATTTTACGTACTATAAGACACACTTTTTTTCTTTGAAATATTGCCTCCGAAATTGAGGTGCATCTTATAAAATTATTTGGAAGTTATTTTTTTTGTAAAATTGCTTAGAAATTAAGGTGTGTCTTGTAGTCCATAGCGTCTTATAGTCCATAAAGTACGCTATAGTTGCAAAATGATATGCATAGGACCTTAAATATGCATGCTGGTGTTTGTGAAATGAAGACAAGGTGATTGCGCTTCAAACCTCTGCATAGATCTGGTTGAGATTTATGTTTAATGTAAACACTTTAAAATGTGAATTTCCAGTCAATTTCTAAAATTAAAGTGAACATTGCCGTTACTTTTTTAAACTAATAAATCAGGTTTCCAAATTTTACAGAAGACCTTAAAAGTCGAATTACTTATAACATTAGATCATGTGACATAAAAATACTTTCAACCAATATTTATTTAAAAAATTTTTTTTTAGGAAATGTCTACCAAATTTTTGCAAACGCTGCAACATCTATACATTACGTTACACTAAATTTTTTTACTAATATCGCACCCCTATAAATTGTCATCAAGTCTTGCATCCCCTCAAAAAGTAACAATGCATTTTAAAATTTGAATATAAGGGACTTCTAATTTATTAATTTACTTTCAAAGAGAACTGTAGTAGATGTTATAAAATAATCTTTTGATTTATTCTTATAAAATGATCTTGTGATTTATTCTTATAAAATAATCTTGTGAATTATTTCATTAAGGAACATATTAATAAAGAAATTTATATATACATATATGTTACGGCCAAAGCTCGAAATCGGACAAATTGGGAACTGGCCGGTCAAATCGGGAAATGGCCAATATCGCCTCACATTGACCGGCCAGCATCCAATATTTTCTTGATTTCGGGATTTGGCCAGCCAGTTTGCGAAATGGCATGGGTCAATCGGCCAAAGTCGGAAGAAAAGAGTTAGAGCAGACTTTGGGTGTTTGTATACCGTAATGATAATCACATATTGATTTTAATTATAATCTAAACTACCACATAAGTTTAATATAGTAAATTTTCAAATAAGCTTTATTATTATTAAATTATCAATCTCTATCATTACTTTTTACAACAAGATGATCTTTTATGATCTTTCGAATTAGGCCTACAGAGCAGTTTATTTTTACATTTGCAATGATTTGTGAAGCACTTGATAGTGCACTTGCATCGAGTGGTCACGTTTCATTGCCTTTAGAACTAACCTAGCAGCTGAGTTTTGAACTTTCTGTAGTTTTTCTATGAAATGTTTTAGTGAACCTGACAGAGGAGACTTACAATAGTCAAGATGAGAGAAAACAAGAGCACAGAATAGTGTTTTTGTTACGCTAACTGTACGGTAGTGGTGGATAGTGGTGTATGCAGAAGGACAGAAGTGAGAAAAATGATTCTTGAGAGACATGTTGCCAGAAAGAATATAACCAACGCCAGCCTTAGGTAAACTTTCGCCCTGTGCGAAGCACCCGTTCGGCGCCCCTTTCCCTAATTTCCAAGCCCTTTCGGTTGGTCCCAACCCCAGTGTTAGTATCCACATGAAGAATGCACCTTTCATTGTATGGAAACTCATTGCATGAAAAGCGATTGTTCAAAAAGTTAGAATACCGTTTCTCGACTCTGGACTTGAGGTTAACACTTCACTATAATAAACAAGGGAATTTAAATATTTACTTGGCGCCCCAGATGCCCTATGGCCATGGCGCCCTGTGCGAGGGCACAGGTCGCACACCCTAAAGACCGGCCCTGCAAGATTATGAAAAAGTCTGCAAGTAATTTTCCATCTGTACCCTTCGTCTGCTTCATTACCTAATCCACAAATTGCGTGGACATCGTTGCCACAGGATCCATCCACAAGTATAGGCTGAATAACACTCTTTATCACACACTACACACAATCTGTTCACACTGTTATTAGTCTTCGCCAAATCAAAATTGGCCCAGGGATATCCCGGCACTTCAGGAATTGGCAGGCCAAAGTAGGAAATTCACTAGTAATTTCCAGTACATCGGACATTGGCCACACGACTCGGCCAAAGTGCGAAATGGCCAGCCAATTCTGGAACTGGTCGGGCTTTGGCCGTAACATATATATTATATGCCAACAATCCTTGCCTGCTCCAACAATGCACACATAGACCAGTCGTTTGAAGACTTTTTCAACTATAGTCTTTAATAATTTTGTCTCATTGTTCCCATTGTATCCTTTTAAAATTAAGAAAATATACTTCATTACATTTTACATGTTTTCCTACATTGTTGTGTAAACTATGAATAAGACAAGACCCTTTTTTCTTTATACTTTGTAATTTTCATTTTGCTTCTTTATTAAAAAGCTGCAGCTCTTGGAGATCCTCATTTTACAACTCTTGACAACTTGAGCTACACCATGAATGGGTGGGGAGAGTACATACTAATGGATGTCAAATCTAGAAATTTCAACCTACAGGTAACAGTATATACAGTCATTATCAAGCACTTGTACAAGCCGACTAATTTTAAACAAGTTTGTTAATAAGCTGACCCCTTTAGATATGCTAGGAAAAATATGACCCGCTCATAAGCCAAGCGTTTAAAATAATATGGCAGTAGAAGCAATTTGGTTCTAACGAAAATATATTTTAAAACACAAACTTACACTATTATATTTAACATGGATGCTCCCTTTGCATATTTACTAACCGGTATGTAGGGTAAAATTCTGAAAATTTCAGAAAATAAATGACTAGAGAGAAATGCATTACTGCCTTGTCATGCAGTTTTCAAACCATGCAATTTTTAACTTTATTTTGACTTCCATAAATTACTTCAGCTTATACTGTAGCAAAATCAACACTTTCAAGCTTAGCGATTAAGATCTTTAACTTCATTTGTGGCGCTGAGAGCTGTACTCTTACTCTTATTTGCCTCACTACACTTTATAAGAACCATGGCAAATGCACTTAGACCCCAAAAACCGGCACAGTAGCATTGAAAATAACGTAAGATGCTTTCACTACAGCTTTCGGCAACAAAACGATAAAGGTTATGGGTGCCCCGAGAGCTTGGGAAACACATGCACAAAAACACACTAACAATGTGCTGGGCATTTAAATTCCAGAGCAGCATTTGGATTTATAGCATCTATATTTAAAAATTCATTCCATCCTTTATTTTACATGTTATAGAAAATATGCCATAAAAAATGAGGCTTGTGTGTTAGAATGAACATATCAAGTTTTGGTGTTTGGATTTTTTGACAAATGCAGTTGTTTTGTGTATTGTTTTTGTTTAACCTGTCATATTGTAGCTAGTTTTTGGTGACACTTGTTTCTTGAGTCAATACTTTTTGCTTGAGAGGTAGGCTACTCCTAAATCTCATAACCCAACATGTTTTCTTTAAAAAGCGTGCCATAATCCTCACCTAACATGACACCCATAACATTTTCTCTTCCTCATCTCACTGTTTTAAGAAGAGATAAAAATCTCCTTGTGCATAGTTTGATCCGCGTTGCCCCCTGCCATTTTGGGAACAAGCCATGTGGATTCATCCATTGCAAAGGGTGCCCTTTTGTCATCCAGACTCAACACATACCCCCCTTTTTAAGGGCAGGTTTCAGATAAGGGATGGTTTCCTTTGAACTTGTCACAATGTTGTCTACGCCATTGTTTGCCCCTGCTGCCAGAGTTGGTTGGATCTTGTGTATTCTATCGCCTCTGCCAGCACTAGTCGTCATCACAAATCGATTCTTTAAATTTTATATACCTTTTGTAGCCTACATCATAATTCCCCATTCATCTTAAGTCAGGGGTCAACAATCTTACTTTATTGAGTCATTTTATAAATTTTTCTGAGAAAATATTTTGAGAGCGGCACATGATTTTACACAAGGGGGAAGAAGCCAAATCTACTCCTTACAGAGCAGTGGGTTGCTGTCCACTGTATAAATTTAATAAAAGTTGTTTTTTAAAGAAAATTCAAGGCCATCTAAACTCTCTACCATTCATAATCTGTTTTTAGAGCCGCACAGATATAGTGGAAAATGACAAAGTAACTAATGCCACTGCATTTGTAGCTTTTGCTGCCAAGGAAGGCAGTGCCCCAACCTTTCAAGTTCAATTATCACCGGATAAAACCAGTAAGTAAAAATTCAGGTACATCGTTTTCATGCCTTCTTGTGTTCTCAAAGATTCATGCAAATAAAATATTAAATATTTAATTCAACTTGAAGACAGAATGTTACTTTTGTCTGCTAGCAATAGTTATCAGTGCATACAAATAAGTTAATGGACCAATTTAAAAGTATACAATGAGCACAAGGACTAATTCAAGAAATAATGACTTGAGCCCATAAGAAGACAGAAGAATTTTATTAGCTATTTTCATTGCAGTTGGAAAAAAACAGATTTTGTGTCAAGTGCTATTTCTGAAAGATTTCTTTGTCTATAGCGATGGTGATAATGGCAAATGGAAGTGACATTACTGGAGATTTTTACGGCACCTTAAACTACTCAATGATCACAGACAACATTGATATAAGAAGAGACTGTTCACTAAACAGGACACAAGTTGTTGCAGTTTTCACTTGTGGTAATAATTTAGAATGCTATATTATATTGTTACTTTTTGTTATAAAAAAACACAAAAATGTTGATTCAATGAAACAAAAAATAATTTCAGAAATTATTTCAGTGCTGCATCAAATATTGGCATTAAATAATTTTCAGTGTAAACTGTTTTTTATAGCAGGAGTTAAACTATTCCATTTAACTTTCTTATGTAGGCATAGCTCTTGTCATTGAAGTAGGTGTTGAGAATTTGAAAATAGGAGTAGAAATTGACAAGTCACTGAAGACTTTGACCAGAGGACTCCTTGGCAATTTTAATGGAAATCCATATGATGATTTTCAACTACCTAATGGAACAGTTTTGTCTCCTAATTTAACTGAAGAACAGGTTTTTAACCTATTTGCATCCTCTTGTAAGTAATTTAGTATTATTATAAAATGTATCTTTTAGACACATTATCTTTGAAATTTATACATTTTCAATTTCTTTTGTATATTTACAAGCCTTTATTTTGATGAAATTCCGAAAATATGTAACTAAAAATTGACAACGGTTGAGTTTAAATTCTTTTCTAAATATTTTTTAAAAAAATTTCTTTTGTATATTTACAAGCCTTTATTTTGATGAAATTCCGAAAATATGTAACTAAAAATTGACAACGGTTGAGTTTAAATTCTTTTCTAAATATTTTTTTTTTAAATTTCAGAATTTAATTTTAAAAAATATTTTGCAGAAAATTTTTATAATTTTATTTTATGATAGGATAATAGATCTATATTTTTTAATAAATTAATTTCAACTCATGTTAAGTGTTTTGCAGAAATTCTTAAAACTTACCAATCAAAATGTTTCTTTGTTATCAGATGTAGTGATTTAAGTTTCTCTTCCAAACAGTTTTACTTATGGGGTGTTTAAATCAAACAAATGCACCTAGTGTCAAATATTTTGTTTCAGATCGAGTGAATGAAGCAAATTCGATATTCATCTATGATGCTGGGAAATCATATGGTGATTACCAGCACCCTGAGTTTATACCAACTTTCAGAAGTAGCTTTACAACAACACAAATCAATGAAGCGGCCGAGTTGTGTGGTCTTTCTAGTGAGGACTGCATCTTTGACTTAATTGCAACAGGAAATGAAACCATTGCTCTTAATACCAAATTTTTAACAGAAGAGCATAATTTCAAAATAGAAAATTTAGGTAAATGATTTATTCTGTTTATCTTCAGTATTAAAATTACAGGAAGAAAATCATATTTTATCATTTAATCTTTGTAATAACATACTAAAAAATACTAAGATAATTATGTGTGAAGTTCATTTCCAGCCTGAAAATGGTCATAAAGCTAATTTCTCAACTAGAAGGCTGTGTGACATTTTTGGCAGCCAAATCGATATTATTCACTTGTGAGTGGTCACCGGGTTGCTTTTGTCATTTGCAGCATGCTCTATTCGTCTTTTGCTGGAAACAAATTTCTATGAAATAATTATAGTTAATCATCTGTTGTTTTTATCAGATGCTAGCAGTTACCACACAAACTAAAAAGCAAAAAATACAAAGCAATATCCACTCTCATAAAAGTCTACTAATCCAGTAAAACCCCTTACTGCATTGCTTTTGAAATGTATGGATAAAGCATTATTTATAATTGGAATCCTTTTGTATTTTTCCCACAGAATGCTGCAAGAGTAATTTAAATGTTTCATCTTTTTTTTATTTACAGCAAATAGCTTACCAGAATTAAAGATACTCAGTAATAGCAGTATTCTCAATAAAAGATGGTTTGTTTTTGAGAACCAGATCAACATGTTGAATTTGGAAGCAACTGATGAAGATGGTGATGCTACAACAATGGAATTGCTTGACAACAAAACTGATAGCATCAGATTTTGTAAAAATGGAACTCTGTTTTACACACCGAATATTCAAGAACCTGTCATAATAGGGTGTGTACATGTAGTAGTAAGATTATATTTAAGAAATATACACAGGGTAGAGAAAAGGGACATTAAAAAAAATGCAGCCATTTAGTCTACAGCAAAAAAACAGAGAGACAAAACTTAGCTTAATTATGTGGTAGACAGTTAATGGTTGGTCTATTCAATTTCGGAACACCCTTTATTTGTTGTGATTGAAAATTTAGTGTAATTAAAAATGAAGATCCTTGTACTATTGAGATTGAACATTCAGTAGCATACTTGTATTTGCTTACCAGGATCCAAGCAAAGGATAGTAAAAATGCCTTCTCTGCCATAATGAACATTCCAATCACAGTTTGCCCAATATGCAATGGACATGGTGGGTACAATGAAAATATTGTCAGTGAAGTGGAATATCTAAATGGGCAATTTACAGTATTGAAATGCCTGTGTCTTCCTGCTTACACTGGTGAGTTTAAATTTGTGCAGCTTATTTAATTTTTTAAAAAGACTTTCCTGTGATTAATTTTAGATTTGATCATTCCCTTTCCTCTTAATTGTCCCCTGAATCATCTGTTTTTTAAAAATAAGTTTAGTTCTGCCTTTTTAACTTCTTTATTTACACTTTGCTTGGACATTAATTTCTCATTTAAAATCACATTATATAGAAATATTGCAAGATCTGTTCACTTTATAAGACACTGAATTGATAAGGCAAAATATGGACAAAATATAATGTCAAAAGTTCATTTCATTTTGATTTATAGTTAGCTTGTTTAAAATTATAAATTTCAGGAGAATACTGTGAAATTGAGCTGGATGCTTGTAAGACATATCCCTGTGCCAAGGGACAGAACTGCACAGATCTATCAGCTGAGGAACAAGGAAACATGACCACGGGCTACAGTTGTGGACCTTGTCCCCAGGGTTTTGTTGATATAGATATGAATTGTCTTGGTAAGAATAATTGATTACTAATGTAAATATGGTAAAATTATTGGTGAACATCAAATTTAAAAAAAATTATTTCAATAGTGAGAAATCAGATTGACATCATGCCTAATTTCAATATCTACTGCTTATGTTTTTAACCTACTATAACCTATAGATTTTGGATTTTTTAAATGTAGAGAAATATATATTTGAATATAAATTTAAATTTTTTTTGGTTGAAATTTGTTATATCCGGCCTGATTGTTTTAGAGGGCCTGTTTTAGTAATAGTTGGGTGTTACATTCAATCAATACCCAGTTAAACAAAATTCAACAACACCTAATTATTAAGCATTAATTAAACAAAGTTCTTTTAAAGTTTATAATCCTTATTGTAGTAATAGAATGTAGTGTCATAAACGGTTTATGAAGGATTTGTGAAATGTTTTTTTCCAATAGATTTTCCCAAAATTTTGTAGGGTGGAAGAAAAACATTTGGGTCCATGGGAAATGCTCGGATCCGCAGACCCTTGATCGTGTTTTTCATTATAATAATTTACTTGATGTCAGAACATTGTGATATGTACCATTATCGAATAATCATTCCTACACAAAGGCTAGCAACCTTTTTCCAAAATGGGAACAGTTGTGGGGAGAATGATAAATTAAAATTTGACACACTAAATATTAGCTGTTTAATCATAATATTTTAACTGATGAAAGTTGCGTCTTGGCTAGTAAAAAATTATTAATACAATAAAAAATATCATGCCATTCACAACTTTTTCAAAAATATAATGAGACAACTTGTATTGCTCAATCAATAATAATATAAAATAATTATGGCATCTCTAATAATTTGGATGCTATAATGACTGAATTTCGTTTTATAGTATTGGTAGTGCTATATTCAGAAGGCAAACTTACCTGAGACTGTTACTTTTCTATGTTTTAAAACACTCAATGACCACAGCTATAGAGCTGAATTTTTATAAATACTCTTCTCAGTCTTCAAATATAGGCTACATGAAATATCCTTAAACTTGTACTCCTTGCCACTCAGTATATAACCCACCATCTGCCCCTTCATTAAACCCCTCTCGCACCTGCCCCTTTACTTAAATTACTTGTTCAACTCTAGTTCTACAGAAAGTAAAACTCAACCATAATGTTGTGGCAAACACATTTATTTTGAAAACGCTGTTTTAAAAAAAATTAAAATGATGAAATTGTGATAAAGATCATAAAAATTCAAAGTAAATAGTTTGTAAAAAAAAGTTACAATACTGCTAGGAACAATTACACCTCATGTTTATATTTTTATTGCTAAAATTAAATTTTGGGACAAATCAAGATATTCATTCTTTCTTTACAAAGAGTTCTGTTGTTAAAGAAATAAATAAAATATTGAGATATTGTTATTTCTACATAAAAATATTGTTAAGAAAATCCAAATTTCTGTAACATCATATTCTTGTCAACGAAATTTATTTTAACTAATCATGAAAAATAATAAAGTATATTTAATTTATTGAATTATTGTGAAAGCCCTATTAAGTCACCTAATTAATTTCAGTTGGCTTACTGCTAAAAAAATTAAGAAAAGGATATATTTTAGTGATTAGTTGTGAAGTTTTGTTTTGAAATCAATTTGAACTCATGGAAGAAAATCTAACGTTGATAGCCCCTAAATTGGAACATTTTAATTATTTATGAAAATAAGTTAATTTTTTTTACAAACAGCTTTATGGGTTTCTGTAATCTGTGAGAAACCAGCAAAAGCAGATTTTTGAGTTAAGTATGGGATTAGTTTTGCTTTGTCTTTAATTTATCCACCTCTTACAATTTTTTAATGAATACCTTGTATATCTTATTTAAGCTTGGTGCAGATAGATCTGAACGATTGTTGTAAATTAAATATTTACAATTCAGAACGGTTACTTTTTAGATGCTTTTTGAACTAATACTTTGTTTTATTCCTATTTTAATATCATTTGTGCATAATGGATGTATGCTCAATAGCAAGTGTCTGATTTCACTGTTTCGAGATTCGAGATTTGTTTATTCAGGTTTTATTTCCTACTAAAAAATTCTTCCTTTGCTGAACACAGTATAATATAAAAGGTTATTTGGTCATTGCAAGGGATTAACATGAAAATAAAACTTATCCCTGCTATTTGTTGAGACAGATGCATTGCCATCTTCTACATGTAAATCTCCTATGAAAGAGGTCTTTGATGTGATCAATTTAAGACACTCATCTTTTATAAACAAAATGTAACGTTAATATCACTTCACCCGCAGACATAAATGAATGTCACAATACCAGCTTATGTGATCAGCTTTGCATAAATACAGAAGGTTCATACTACTGTCAATGTGGAAATGGATTTGTGCTCAGTGCTTCAGACAACTCATCATGTATTGGTATGTCCCACTTGCTGTCATTAATCAATTCTTGTCTAAAGTATACCAAACAACACTCATTTTACTCTTATAATATAAATTTAAATATTTACTCTTAATGCTTATTTTAAATTGGGGTAGTGTTTTTTTTTTTTTTTTTTTTTGGGTTTTTTATTTGGTGTTTTTTTTTTTTTTTTTTTTTTTTTGGGGGGGGGGGGGGAATACATTTTAAAAATCGGATTTAAAAAAGATTTTTTTGGAGAAAGTTGGTACTCCAAATCAATATGATTTAAGCCAGTTTTTTCGTTCTAGGACAACCTGGCTTTCTTGCATGTCAGAGCTTTAACTATTCTTGGATGAATACAGTTTGCGAGAATCATAGACAATGTTAACAATTTCATAACCGATTGTTACAGACCATACACATTTTCCATTTTAAGTCTATTACGGTGGTTCCCAAATGGTGCTCCACAGAACCCAAAAGCCTCACCTTCCGCTCCAGGAAATACCTAAACATTATTAACTTGTAAGACATTAGTAGGAATTGTGTACTCACCTAATTAAAGTAATTCTATAAAGGGCTCCGCTAATAAAAATTAATGGTAACCATGGATTATTAAAAAAATTATAAGTCAAGAAGTTATCAAATATGTTATGCGTTTTGATGTACCTTAAGAAAGACAATAACTTAAAAACAAAATTGTTTCAATAGTTAGAAGGTTGTAGCTTCGATCCCCATTATAGCAATTTAAAAAAACATTTTAATTTTTAACTAGATGGAGCCCGCCAAATATTGGCGACAGCAATGCGTGAACTTCCCATCTAATAAAGTTACTTGACAAAAACGTGAACTCAATTTTGCTACCACCCACCTCACCCCCCTTCATGATACGGCACACTTTTTATTTCACGTTGACCCGCAGCTTAGCAGACGCCGCGAGCTTGGCTGGCAAGCAGGGGTGGTGCGGGGGGGGGGTAGCTCCACCGCCTTGCACATGTCTCGTGAACTATACAAATATAGCCCACCCGCGGCTTAGCGGACGGCGCGAGCTTGCTGTGATGTATCTATATAGAACCTGCGTGATCGTCTTGTTGTTTGCCCTAGTTTCTGGCGAATTACATATATATAGATTAATTTCATTTTATTACTAATCAGATTGGCCAAGGTTGAAATTTAATTCCTCATGATTAAAGAAAGAAAACATTTTGAAAATCACTATTTCTTCTAATCTAGTCTTTTGTTTCAGACATTTACCCAAAAATAATTGCTTTGTAACCCCATTTGAGGTTATGCCCCATCTTCTGGGAACCTGTGCTCTAGAAACCTGTCAAAATACTTCTATATTAACCCTAGTAAGACATGTACATATATACAAACATGTATGTATAAATAAAACATTTGCTTCTAAATATTTTGTGATGGATTTGAAAGTAGAATTGGTAGAAATGAAAAAACCAAGGTGTAATTTTGTTTTCTCTACAGCCGGTCATACCAGACTTTTGCTTAACATGCATATTATTAGCTAGATATCTATGACTAGGTCTAAGAAATGTCTCAACTAACCTATTTTTTTTTTTCATTCTTTAATAGACAAACATTTAAGTAAAGCAGTTTTTATATAGTTAAATTCAGTTTATATTATAATTTTAATTGATTTAATATTATCCATAGAATAGCCAGGATGGTGACTTTCCAAGGATAAGCAAAACCCCAGGAAATGAGAAAAAATAGTTAAAACCAGTTATTTAAAATATTAAAAAATATTAGTGAGTTCCCAATTTTCATGTTTGAACCTGATACCTAAAAATAATCAGTGCAGCCCATGGGATAGCCAAAATTTTAGCCCATCCACCCTCTTGCAGAATTTTTTTGGCCAAAATGCCATCCTTCAATATAAATATAAACGGGAACTTCCAGTGCAGACCACCTATTTCCCCACTGCTATGAATACATGTTTTTAATAAAGCCACTTAATATATCTTGTATTATTCAATTTAGCTATTGCTGGAAAAAACTGTTCAGCCTGTCACTGCTTCTCAACAAACACTCATTCCTGGTTGGAGACAACGCGTCAATGTATTTGTAAAGAAGGATGGACAGGCAGTGATTGCTCTACAAAGATTGATAACTGTCTCAATCACAGCTGTCCAGCTCACTTGCAATGTCAAGAGAGAAAATTTGGCTACGACTGTGTTTGTTGGAATGGCCTTAAACCTGGACCTCTAGGCACTTGTAAAGGTTAGAGAATTATCCTTTTGATAGACTTTCTTTCTACTTGCATTTTAATCTTGTGGAGTTATTTTTCTTGTTTACACACGTAACATTTTAAGATACTGTGTTTATCTTGTGGATGACGGAGGTGGGTTGACAATGTCGCTCAAATTATATGGTTTACAGCATCTCCTTGGCTGAGTGAAGGAGTGGGTGGGTGATGTCAGATCAACTTTGTAGTTTTATGCTTATGTAAAGAGTTAAGACACTTCAACCTGGATTTTGTAAGCATTTATTATTTAAAAGTTAAATCTACTTTTTTTTGATAATTTAAAGATCACAATTTTAATACTAACATATTTTAATAACAAATAGTTTTTTAAACTTAAGACTTCCTATCAAAGATGAATTAAAATCCACTAAAAAGTAGAAATTAGTTTCAAATTTCTTAAAATGCATTATGCAAAGAAAGTCTGTGTAGAAAATATTTTAAAACATTTAATCTTAGAATAACCTATTTCTTATTTATTAAAATATTATCCCAATTAAATATAACTATTAAAGAGAAGTTAAAAATTCATTTTAACATATTTTTCCTTATTTTAGACTGCAACAGGACTCTATCTAATTCCAATGGATGGATAATGACCTCAAATTACCCACTTGATTATGACAATGACACATTTTGTACATGGACAATTGTCAGTCCGGGTTCAGATACTACAATCACCCTCAGGTATGAACTAGTTTGTATAAATAAAACTGTCAAGCTTAGGCAATTAAACATATTACAAAGACTGAAAATTCCTTGTACTTTTCTATGTTAGAAGGCATGCAACTCTAGAAATTGTTCAGTAAACCCAAACACCAATAATTTGAAAACAGTATGTACTTAATTTATTGAATATTACCTAATATAAAAGCTTCAATGAGTGATGTTACCTTTATTTCCTACAACAGTATCACAGAATATGAAGTTGAGGGCTGTCCAAATGATTATTTGAAGATCTATGAAGGAAACAGTACACAGGACCAAATCTTTGGACCATTCTGTACTTCCGGTCCAGGTGTACTCACAACTACAGGAGGCGCATTTCATTTAGTATTCACGTCTGATTTTTCCATAACCAAAAGAGGGTTCAGAGGCTTTTACTCTATTAAAGGTTAGTCGATCTCTCTATCTTCTTGTGTCATTAATGGACTGATGAATTCGAAGGATAAAATACACCATTCCTTACCACCCAAACTTTGATCTTGCACTGAATTATATACCAATAATAGTTGACCTTGTCCTGGTCCCACCACCTGCCTTGTAACCTTGTGTGCTCCAACATTGACCTCACTTGAGGCTCAACTTCCCTGGGATTTTAACACAAGCAAAAAATAAGGTTGCTAGATCAAAAATTAAAAAAAAGAAACAAAAAAAAGAAATTGAATCTGAAAAGAGGCCACATTTTTTTATATAAATTATAAAATAATTTTTTGAAACTTATTTATTTAGGTGAAAATCTCCATATCCAGGTCATTATAAATTTCATGGTTAGAATTACTGGAAGATGTAACATCAATTTTGTCACCTTTGAAGTTGATATTATGTTTATTAAAGTCACTAAATCTGAAACTTGTTTTTCTTAGAAATGCTTTGACAGCTTTAGTGTTTTTTTTTTTATTGAGCTTGGTAAAATTGATATTCTTTAGTTTGTCTGATACTATATTGTCATTTGAAGCAGATTATATAAATTGGGAAGGTTAAAACCAAAAAAAAACAGTTTTTAGCCATTCCCTTTTGATGTGTGCTACATTTAACACTCAGTGTGGCACATTATTGATGTTGCCTGTGTTGCAAAATTCAATTCACTAACTTAGTGTTAGCATCAGATACTACACTGATCAAAATAATTTTTATTTAAAAGATGTTTTGTTAAGGATTAACTAAACTAGCTCTGACCAAACCATCTTCATTTTCTTCACAATATTATTCCACAGAATGGATTGCTGATTTTTACTTTATATCATTTGGGATCTTTTCTAACCATTTTTTTAGGATGTTGCACAAATAAATAGTCATAAAAAAAACTGTAATCTCTTGGTTTCAAGTTTTGTTTAATGTTTTACACCTGAATTGAAGAATAGAGATTACATTAGTATTGAACTTTTTCAACTTGCTTTTATAATTATTTCATATCATTTCCATATCAAGTCTCCCTTGAGTTCCTTTAATAAAGTTCTATTAAAAATACCTGATAGTTAACTGAACTTGTAATTTCCAGATGTATGTCTTGTTGAGAAATGCTCTCACAACTGTGAAGTTCTGGCCTTCAACCCTAGAGTAGAGATATGTACATGTCCCGACTGGATGATACTAGACACCTATAATACATCCAGGTGTATTGAGATAAATGGTAAGTCTGTCCTCATTTTTCTGAAATATAAATAGATGAAATGTTGACAGATCTACTTTAGTGTGCTAATTTCTTTTAATGACAAGCAAGGTTTTTAAAAAAATAATAATAAATGATTTATCAATGGGTTTTAATTTAATTCCTCAACTTAGGCATGCATTGTCAAACATACTTTTTAATGAGGTTCGTTGTCATTATACAACTTAATAAAAAAGCAATGTTTTCAGTCTGTGCCACACCTAATGACTAAAACATGTACTGTGTTAATTTTCTCTTGCATGGTCTTTTAGATAGCATTTCATGGCAATAATCTTGATAGTCTTGGGTTAACTCTATTAGGATAAAAACAAAAGTTTCCAACTAAAGTAATTTTCTGCTATCAATGTCCTGGCACACTGTTTTTGTGTCAAATTTTCTAAATAGAATTTTTATCTGTTAATAATTATTCAAATTGTTTTAATGACAACTTGACTTCTTTTGTTTTTAAAATCAGGCTGCAACACAATAATGACCGCATCAGGACCTATCGTTACACCACTGTTCCCAAAATTCTACCCAGAAAATGTCAAGTGCTTTTGGAATATTTCAAAAGGCAATAACAGGGAAATCACTATCAGGTATTTTTATAAAACATTGCTCATTGCTTAGGGTTCCTCTTTATTTACCTGTTATATAAATTTTTATTGGTTCTTAAATTAAGTTATTCTTCTCTTATTTTGTAACTGTCTGAAACTATAGTATACTAAGATTAATGAGCTATGTGATTAATGGTGAGCATTATCTATGCATTATAACCAGTTAATTTTAAAAATATTATTTTAGTTAACAAGTAGGTCTTATATTATATGATGTAAACAATTATAAAATAGCTTAAAACTTTTGTCATGACTTCTGCACAAAAATAAAAGCCAAAACTGAATGTATGGGACAATTTTATTGATTTAAAATGAAATTATATCTATGGATGTTCATTAGTTAAATATTTTTTTTGTTAACATTTTCTTGACAACAATTTTTTCTTGACAACAATTTTAAATGTATTTCAGTTTCTCTGACTTTGAGATTGAGGAGCAATGGGACTGTGGTTACGATTCAGTTGAATTCCTAGATGGTCCTGAGGCAACTTCACTGGGAAAGTTTTGTGGAGGAATAGCTCCAAACATCACATCAAGGAACATTTTCCTGTTGGTAGTGTTTGTTTCAGATGATTCTGTTTCTGGAAGAGGCTTCAAGGGCAAAGTCACCATCACTTAGATTTATTTGAATGTAAGCAATTATTAGAGAATGTGTTCAAGTATTTTTAAAGACCTGGGTGACACAAATAACAAGCATAATGTGTCCAAGTAGGCAATGATGCCATGTGACCAGGGAATGTCAGGCTCACAATGACATGCTGACAGCGAATTGTTTTGTCAAAGTTGTCCTCAAAGCCATTTGGGCTGTCCACCTCTGATTTAAACGGTTTTGCATTTAAAATATTTCTTTTCTTAATTGGTATTTTATTATTAATGTTATTGAGCAATGTTAAGATATTGCATTATACTACAGGGCTTTTTTCAAATAAAAGTTAGGGGTTTGATTTATACATGGATCACATTTTGCAAGGTATTTATTCTTTTTAGAACTTTTAGAAAAATGTTTTTTGAGGAAAATTTGCAAATAAATTTATATTTTCCAGCACATTTTAAGGCAATCATGTATATTTTTCAAAGAAAATTCAAGACTCTTTAATGTAGTTAATAGTTTCTTGGATTGATACAAGAACTTTTACATGTTAATATTTTTTGCATCTACTTAAAACCCATCTTGTACTTTGTTGTTAATAATTTGTTGGATTTTTTCAAGACACTTTATTTTATATAATCTTATTTCAACAAATTGTTGGATTAAATGCCTTTTGTAGTCAACAGTTTTTTGATCTATCAAGATCTTATGTATGTAGTTATCAATTTATTTGATCCATTCAATTCTAGTTTGTTGTTTGCCAACAGTGAGTTGTCAGTAATTTGTCTGTTCTATTTTAGTATTTTGCTCATATATCTGAAGTTTAGGCCTATACATTTTTCTCTTGTCAAATTATTAATTGTACAGTGTGCTGGCAAATAGCAGCAGCACATAGATATGTTTATTGACTGACTTTTCAATGGGGGAGGAAATGTGTTTATTGATTTTGTTAATGAAATGAATTGTAAAAACACAATGTTAACAGGACCTTACGTTTCAGTTGTTAGAGCTATTTTTTGTTGATCTTGATTTTTCTTTCTATGTACAAATGTATAAATATCAAATAAATTTCATTCAAGAATTTGAACATAAAACAAATTTGTTGGACAGTTTTATTTACCTTTTGTGTTTTAATTTAATGTTAATTTCTATGTTATTAGTTACCAGTGGCTATTATCAAAAGGGTATTTCATTCAAGTAAATGATAAATATTTAATTAAATTAACTATTGGCAATATTTCATAGATACAAGTATTACCAAAAATGTAATAATTAAATTATCCATATGTCATACAGGTAACCAATATTTCATAAAAGTGACTTGTCAACATTTCTTACAAATAATTATTTATAATATTAAATATTTTAACAGACTATGAATAATAGTTTATAAAAATTTATAACTTCATCCGAATTTGTAATACATTAGATTGTGACCAAATTTCTTTAGTAACAAATGGTACAATTTTTAAAAAAATTTGACTCTTTTTAAATTACCATCATATATTAGCCTATATAAAAGTGGAAATGTGTGGACATGTTTGCGGTTTTGTTCTGCATTTTTTCTATATGGATTGATGGATCTTGACAAACTTGGCACGTATTTCCATCATTATCCAGAAGGAACTCTTGGGGAGGGTTATGAACTTTTTATCCTTTCTGAGCTGGAGGCCAAAATGTTGTTTTTCTTATAGTCTTTGAGTTATATAAGCTAAATAAATAAAATTACCAACAAATGTTTAGATGGATCTTGACAAAACTTAATACACATACACTTTATTATCCATATTCAAATACCAAATGGTACTGAAGTCATAACTCCTTTGGGGCAAAGAGCCCCATTTCATTTTCCTAATATAAGCTACCGGTATATAAATATCAAAAGGCTTAGACAATGATATAGGTTCTATGTGAATGGATCTAGGCCTAGCTTTGTAGGAGTATCCTTCATAGCCCATATTGAAATCTTGATGAATTTGAAATAACATCCAATCCATTCAGGGCCTGTCTCAAATTTTCCAGAAACTTTTAATAGATTTTAATGGGACATTTTAATTTTAACTTTATTATTTATCTGGCCGAGTTTTATAGGGCCCCCTGTCTCGGGTAAAACTAAATCAGTACAATTATGGAATGGGCCATCACCCAGGCCCCTCTTCCAACTTAAATGTAGGTAGGCCTTCAATTATAGTAGTGCATTTATTTGTATAACTTTTCTTATTTGAAAAATAATTAAGCAGAAAAGTCATTTTTTACAGGATTGGAGGAGGATATTAAATTAATCTAGAAAGTTCCAGAAAAAAAGATTGTTTTACAGGGATATATAATGGGATCAAAAGGCTCATTGAAATATTAGCTGAGTTCTATTCATTTCTATACTTTCATGGGGATTTTCTCTAAAATACCCTTCATAATCCTACCGGGAACATGAAGCAACCGAGGAACAGGATCCTAAAGGGGAACGCGTAAACCGGAACCCTATGTCAAACTAAGTTATATTTATGTGAATGTAGACATATTCAAAACACAAATATCATTGTGTACTTGCAAACGTAATATACAAAGATATATTTGTGTATGTGCGGACATAATTATTCAAAACAGAATCAGGTGTGTTCAATGAAAAGTTTTCTTCTCCACGACCACAGATGATATCTCAGAATATAGCCAATGTATTAAAGATTCATAATTATTACGAGAAAAATTACAAAGACATTTTAAAAAAGAGAAAAACCTAAATAAATTTTTCATTATGATTAAAATAAAGTTTTTTTTTAGCCACGTACATTGTCTTAAAATGTTATTGACACATTATAACGCTACATCACATGTGTTATAGCATTACGATTTTCTTAAAAAGGCAATCTCAAATGTTTTGAAATTGACATATTTTGATTGCCTCGCAATCAAGATGTTTAAATTTGCTTTCTAAACAAGATGAACTTTAAGTGATATTTGTGTCATGGTTTTATTGTTTTTGTTGTTACAAGTTTTTAACATGTTTAAGTTGATACAAAAGTAAATTTTTAGACTGCAGATATGAAGACAATTGACAATGCTTGTAACGAATTGATGAAGATTTGTATTAAGAAATTGTATGAAACTTAACAACTTCCACATACAATCAAATTTCAGACAGGGTTTCTTTCAGGCATATCTTTGTGGGGGGGGGGGGGGGGGGCGGGGCCCCCCCCCCCCCCTCCCCCCCCCCCCCCGCCGCCAGCACGCCCCCCCCCCCCGGAAAAGTCAAGTCCCCCCTCCCTTAAAACAAAATGTGTACAGAAATATAAATTATATAAAATATCTTTTTATAAAGGTCTACAATTTTAATGATAGTTCTTGCTGAATAAAAAACATGCGCATTCTTTTTCAAATTATATTTAATCATAAAAGTACGACTTTTAAAGTAGGGACAGATCTAGATCTATGTGTTAATTATATTGTATGATGACATTAGCTTTTAAACAAAACAAAATATTTGCGTAACTGTAAATTTACTTGCTTCCATGTGTGTTGAGTTATGGGGTACCACGCTATATAAGAATAAGACCACTTATTCTTCTTCTTATTATTATTAAAATGGAAACTTTAAAAAAAAAAGATATATTTAAAAAAACTAGAATTTTATGAGTGCACACGAAAAGTGCACATTTTATCACCTATTATATCGAAAGCGTTTGTGTTTGCTTTAAATTTGCAAATTTTGTAACAAGGTTTCCTGAATGACAAAGGTTTAAAAAATTCGTAAAATTATTAATTTTTTTTAATAGACCAAAAAAAAAAAAAGAAAAGCTTTTTTGTTAACGAAGATTTCGAGTATCATGTCAATTCTATGAAAAACAAAATTGTTGGTTCTAGTTTTAGAAACAAATTCTTATTTCCAATGTACTCAATTTAAATTAAATTCTGTGGATTCGGTAAAAAAAAAAAAAATGGGATATCGAAGAGGCAATTTGTAATTTATCGGAAAAAGTTATAAATTAAAAATAAACATTTCAGTCAACTGAATTTTGGGAAATATATACTTTGGTTGCTTACGATTTCTCTTAAAAAGTCACACATAAATATTATATAATTTCTTTTGTAAACAACTCATGCTTCTTAAAATAGTTTTGTCGTTCATTTACGATTGATCATGACCAGTTTTCAAAACCCATCAAAATATGTAGACCTTTCTAAAAAAAAGTTTTTAAAAATATTTTTGACTCTGGCAAAATTTGGAAATATTTAGAAAAGGTAGACTAATTATTATAGGTAAGTTGTTTTTTACCATCGTTTGCGTTCAGCATATAAAATCATGTTTGCAGTGCTTTTTAGTGATGGAATCTTTTTAATTATTATTTTTATATTATTTTTTAAATTGAAAATTCATTTATTAATTACGTAGCTCTTAAACACCCCCCCCAAATCAGCCAAAAAAATAAAAAAAATAAAATAAAAGTAAATTAAAATAATGTAAATTAAAAATAAAAGCCATATTACTTTTTTGGGCAATAAGAAGCACTTAATGTGATAAAATACGTTTTTGTATTTTTAATTTTAAAAAAATTCTGGGGACTATAAAGATTTACGAAGCAAGAATATCTAGGTCTAAAGCGTACCCTCAAGGGTAAAACAACTAGAATGACTATAGTTTACGTCCCGCTGGTACGGGATTTAAGATGTCTTTGATCATCATTATGGCTAATTTTGGCACTTCCCACCCGTGAAACTCAACCTCAAAATTGTCTGAAGGAAACAACAAATTCAAGTATGCGCCAAAATGCACCCTTGCATTTTGAATTTGCCTGACTGTCTTTAGCACCATACATGTCTGCATCCTTGCCGCACGCTGACCAATGTTACAGTATAGGAGTGATAATAAGCTTGTGTCAAATGATTACACTAGGGCCATGGGCGCCCGCAGAAAACTTTCTAGGGGGGGGGGCAAAAAAAAATCGATTAACTTTCCGGGGGGGGGGGTTTTTTTAGTAATGTTTTAATGTAGTTTTAATTTACTGTAGCGTATTTGTATGGTGAACGAACGGACAGGACATCAGCTTAGTTACTTTCTCTTTATTTTCTCTTTACTTTAATACATTTTTTGTCTATTTTTGTCTAA